GCCATGGCCGCTGAGCCTGCGCGTCCGGAGCCTGTGCTCCGCAACGGGAGAGGCCACAGCAGTGAGAGGCCCGCGTACCGCAAAAAAAAAAAAAACAGAACCCCAATAAATTGTGGAATCAGACAAACTGTTTCTAAAATGTATATGTTAATGCAATAGAGCCATCCACGAACAGCATGATACACATAAGAAGATGACCAAGTTTGGGGAATTTTCTCCACCACAAACCAAGACAGATTCCAAGGCCTGAGGACAGACCAATAGACAATAGACCAATGGAACAGAATAGAGAGCCCACAAACAGACTCAGACCTTTGTGCATACTTGATAATGACAAAGGTGATAGGGTAGGTTGGAAGAGAAAGAATCAACTCATTGGTAAACGATGTTGGGAAAAATTTATCAGTGAATACATTGTCAGTCTCTTGTCAGTCTCTCTTCCAGGATCTGCCATTGTGTTGGCCTCTCTTCTCAGTTCTCTGTCTCTCAGGCTCTCTTTCTTGTTATTTAAGGTCTTTTTCCTTTATTTTGGTGCACTTTGTGGAGTGAACAAGGCTTGTGTTTATTTCACAACGTTTAAATGAAAGCAAATTAAGCACATATCTCATTTTTAAAAAATGTAGACTGTCTCAAGAGCTTTTATTTTCTTTGAAATTTTCAGACATGTTGCAGAGTGTGTTGAAAAGAAAGTCTCGTAATTTCTTTTTTTTACGTGAAAGTAAAAGCATAGTATTAAGTCACTGTGAGAAAATACGGGAACTGGATTTGAGAAATGATTCTTTGTGTATACAGGTAGGTCTATGGCATGTAAATTCTGGGTTCAGTATTTCAACCACCAGCTCTATTTGAGAATCAATCATCATATCTAATATTGAAAATGTTTCCTGTGCAAAGTAATTGTATTGTTTTTAATAGAGAGTTTTCTCAAGCAAGGTATTTTCTCCAGTGCCAGCATTCCACTTATTATACTTTCACTGATATTCATTTAATGGAGTGGTTTCTCGTTTGAGGTGCAGTAAAAACATGGTGATGGGTGGCAGCAGAGTCCTCAGCCTTAAAAGATTATTGTTGAGAGCATATCCTGGACCCCGGAGCTCGGTTGCTATGGTAACTCTGCAGCTCTGCCAAGGCTGGTCCTCACTGTGGGCAGAAAGAAGCTCCCCTGCCAGCAGCTACGTGGGATTCTGGCAGCTGGAGGGAGTACTGTGAAATGGTGCGCTGCTTCCCCCGATGGGAGTTCTGAGAGCCTTCTTTAAAATCCAACAGCAACTCGGGACCGCGGAAGAGTGAGGGCAGTTAGGATCCAGCCCATTCTGGTGCAAAATGTGCCTGATGAGGTGCTTGACGTTTCTTACTTTGAGTAAAAGTTTTGCAGAGGATCAGGACTGAAATGGAAAGATTCTAGCCTGACCCGGCAGTAATGGAGCCTTAGAGGAATTTGTGCTTATCCGTAGGGGTAATATAATCCTGAGGGATTTAAGGGACAGCATTTAAATAGAAAGTAAAAGAAACATTTCTATTTAATTTGGAGATCTTGGGGCTTCCCTGGTGGCTTGGTGGTTGAGAATCCGCCTGCCGATGTAGGGGACACGGGTTCGAACCCTGGTCCGGGAAGATTCCCACATGCCGCGGAGCAACTAAGCCCGTGCGCCACAACTACTGAGCCTGAGCTCTAGAGCCCGCGAGCCACAACTACTGAGCCCGCGAGCCACAACTACTGAGCCCTCGAGCCACAACTACTGAAACCCGTGCGCCTAGAGCCCGTGCTCCGCAACAAGAGAAGCCACGGCAATGAGAAGCCCACGCACCGCAACAAAGAGCAGCCCCTGCTCGCCGCAACTAGAGAAAGCGCGCGTGCAGCACCGAAGACCCAACGCAGCCAAAAATAAATAAAATAAATAAATTTATATGTAAAAAAAGGTCATCATAATTTGGAGATCTTAAACTCATTTAGAAATGCCTATTAACTCAGGCTTGTCAATTTGGGTTTTCTCAGTATTGAAATTTATCTCATGTTTTTCAAAATTTAAAAAGCAGTATTCAGTTAAAGCTATACTTAATGCTATAGAATACAACACGAATATATAGTGTCCCCTCCCACCGCACATATATAGTCTAAGTAACTAAGCTTGCTTGCATGGAGGCTAGTATTGGTCCAGCTAAACCACAGTAGAGAAAACATGGAATAAGCAGAAAGTGACTCTGAATTAGTAACAAAATTAGTCAGAAGTCCTCGATAGCAGTTTGGTGACCATCAGTGGGCTTACCACTTCATTTGCTCCTGAGCCATTCTCGTTCTGATTTTATCTTTAGTCTGTTAAAAGCTTTAAGTGTAGGATCAGCAAAGGTAATTCCTATCTACGAATTTGGTGTTTGAACTCTTCCACTGTATATTTGACTCCTACTCTTAAGGGTTTTGTTGGATACTTTCATCTGGTTTTGACACCTCAGTGTCTGCAGTAGAAAGTCCTCACTCTTAGATTCTTGAAAAATAGGGAGGAAATCACAAAGGACTGGGATTTGAGATCATGGGGCTGTTTGGGGCACTTGCCAAAGTTAGGAGTAACTCTTCTTTGGGTTGGTACCAATTTTAGTTTTTCTCTTTATTTTTAAATGATCAGTAAGATGAAAATTTTACAGCATGGTGAGACAGAGAGTAGTCCAAAGATTTTTCTGCTACCCTGTTAATCTCCACTCGAAACTGTGTTCAGTGACATTCAGATACTACACACAGTGTCTCACCCATCTGCCAGTGAGATTTCTTCCTATCACGTGAAGTGTCAAGCTGTTCTAACCTTTTCTACTTCCCCACATTGTGTGTGTGTGTTATGTGTGTCGGGGGCAGAAAGTTCAGGAAATGATTCTTCCTATGCAAGCAAGAGCTACGGAAGTGGGGAGGTGTTCAGACTTCTTTTTAACCTCTCCTGGGACAGATGAGATGATCCATGATTCTTTTAAGAAAGTTAGTTAAATGATCACTATTACAATAGCAGACTAGCCCATCTTCCGAATGTAAAGTTACTTCACACAGGAACTTTGCAGTCACTGCATGTTTCAGATATTGCTATAAACATATATGCATTATTGATAAAACACACTAGAGACTGTCATAGAGTGAGGTAAGTCAGAAAGAGAAAAATAAATATCATATATTAACGCTTATATGTGGAATCTAGAGAAATGGTACAGACGAACTGGTTGGCAAGGCAGAAATAGAGGCATAGATGTAGAGAACAAAAGTATGGACACCAAGGGGGGAAAGTGGCGGGGGTGGGGGTGGTGGGATGAACTGGGAGATTGGGATTGACATGTAGACACTAATATGTATAAAACAGATAACTGCTAAGAACCTGCCCAAAAAATAAACAATAGCCGTATTTTTTTCAGGGAAACACAGATCTTTCCATGACTTAATTAAGTACAATACCTAACAATCCATTTTCCAATATCATTTGTTATTTGTTTCTGAAGAAAGAAAAAGTCAATCACACGGAGAGAGCTTGAGAAGTTTCAGCATTATAAAAGAAAGTTTGATCAAAAATTTGCAAAAGGAGAGAAGTAGGAGGAAATCTTTGGAATAGGATATGTGTGGGGAAGCAGTGAAGGACAGAGGTGGACAGAAGTAAAACAGATCACATAGGCGTTCCTCTTAGTTGTCAGCCTCTAATCTAAACGTTCCTTTCTCACCAGTGTCTGGCAAATAGTATCTCGTATTTCTTATTGCAAAACATATATACTCAAACATTTCTAGTTAATCCCTTAGAAGAAGATACCTAACAGCTGACTGACCAGAAAATTCGGATCCTTATTTTGAATATTAACAACCAAGGTTATCTGATGTTTCAGACTAGTTTAAAGCCATCTTTTGAAAATGAAGGACTAAAATGATGAAACTTCAAAAAGCAAAAGTAATTACTGTGGCCAATTTTTGGAAACCATATTACAACACAGTAATACTTAATAATAGTTAAAATTACATCCAATGATGGTAGACGTAACATTTACTGAGTAGTGACTCTGTGTCATGCACTATTTTATTTTTTTTATTAATTTTTATTGGAGCATAGTTGATTTACAATGTTGTGTTAGTTTTGGGTGTACAGCAAAGTGAGTTGGTTATACATATACATATATCCAGTCTTTTTTAGATTCTATTCCCATATAGGTCACTACAGAGTATTGAATAGAGTTCCCTGTGCTATACAGCAGGTTCTTATTAGTTATCTATTTTATATATAGTAAAGTGTATATGTCAATCCCAATCTCCCAATTTATCCCTTCCACCACCCTTTCCCCCTTGGTAACCATAAGTTTGTTTTCCACATCTGTGACTCTATTTCTTAGTAAATAGGTTTATTTTTACCATTTTTTAAGATTCCACAAATAAGCAATATCATATGATATTTGTCTTTCTCTGTCTGACTTCCTTCGCTCAGTATGACGATGTCTAGGTCCATCCATGTCACTGCAAATGACATTATTCTTTATGGCTGAGTAATATTCCATTGCATATATGTACCACATCTTCTTTATCCAATCATGCACTGTTTTCTGTATTAACTCATTTAATGCTCACAAGAACATTTGAGGGAAAGCTTTACTGTAACCTTCTTTACTGTCACCTTCAAATGATGAATTCAAAAGAATAAACTTGCCCCAAAACACACAGTGGTGGAGTCAAGATTCTAACCCTTTCCAGGTCTCTCTTTTCTACTCTGACAGTATCTTACTGAGTTGGGAAGGAAGGACTTCTCTGGTTTGGGGGTAGAAGAGGAAGCCCTCAGCAGAAGTAATCATTCTCCTGTCTGTGGAGCATGGGATTATCATTAAGAAATTGATTTTTATACCTTCCAGGACACTCTCGGACTTGATTTACATGGTTGACCTGATGTCATCCATAAATGCAAATATGTTTTCCATAATGCTTAAGTTTGGAAAAAAGTTCAATAAGATTAATAAAAATATGAATTTCTAACTTTCTTCCTGTTGGACTTTTGCAGGGTGTTTTGAGTGCTGTATTAAATGCCTGGGAGGCATTCCTTATGCCTCTCTGATTGCCACCATCCTGCTCTACGCTGGAGTTGCCCTATTCTGCGGCTGTGGTCATGAAGCTCTTTCTGGAACTGTTAACATCCTGCAAACCTACTTTGAGATGGCCAGAACTGCGGGAGATACGCTGGACGTCTTTACCATGTAGGTCATTCTGGTATCGCTTGTTATTTTGAGAATGTATGTGCACATTGCTGTGTGTTGAATAAATAGGGATCTAGAGTTAAGCGAGGCAGTGTTACATAGAAGAAAAAGTACTCTTAGGGTATATACGTGAGTCAAAAGGACACTGACCCTTACCATGAAAACAGGAAGGTACACAGCAGAAGATCAGAGGCCAACTTAATCTGGACTTAATTTGTGTTTTAATTTGCCTGTAAAGTTTTATCCAACATTCAGTTACCATTAAGTGGAATACTTGCATTTCTCTCACTCTTCTAATTGGAGCAGAGGCTGTTCTAGCAGAATAGAACAGGATATAGAATCAGAGCCAGGTATAAGTGTGTACTCTGCTGCTGATTCTAGGAAAATCACCCAAACTCTGTGGCTACTCCCAACTTTTAAAAAATTTTAACTCAACCATGGGTGTGATATCATCATTATTTCCTGCCTCCTAGAAATGATGTGACTACCTAAGTGAACATTTTGAAAGGGTCTTATCGACTTCTGTAAAATGATAAACATAAGAAATATTGAGCACCTTTGTACAAGCACCAATTATGCTTAAAATATACATTTTACCCATAAATGTAAACTCCTGGGATCACTAAACTATGGTGATGTTAATATTTAAAAAAAAAAAAACATAATTCAAACATAGTCTGGAAGTAGAAAAGAGTTTAGTGTTCAAGTTTCAGTCCCATATTGCCTAAGTTTCCAGAGAGCAAAATTTTAAGATTGAATTACAGAGGAATTTTTTTTCCAAATAAATTCCGAATTCAAGTCATTTATTCAGTGATTTCTTGCCCACAAAAAGAAAATAAATTATTTACTCACTTTATTTTATAATCTCAGCTGATAGTAAACTTTCTATTGTATTGTGTGTTGCCTGTACAACTTCTTAAATCTATTTTATGCTTCTGGATACTATGTGATTATAATGTTTTTCACGTTGCTTTATTTTGTTATTCTCAATAAATTCAACACTTCTTAATTTATACATACTTCTTTCTGGCATAAGATGCTTCTAGAGTTACAAACCGGAATGGTCGTATGGCTGGTTAGGATGGCGGTGCTTTTTTGCTCTTACCACTTCCACGAAAAGAGGTTAATCACACTTCTTATTCAATTCCTTCTGACAGGGTAAACTATAAGCTAAGACCCTAATCTAAGACAACCCTTGGTCACCCTGGACACCATTCTAGATGGAAGATAGCTTTTCTCCAACTCCAGTATCAGAAGATACATCATATTTCTAAATTTTTTAAATAATCCATCAGCTGCAGTCAGATCGTCTTGAACACAGTATTGCTCATAAACTGTATTTGTTATTTTATTCATTAATGTTGCTGAGTTCCATGAAAATGAGAAGTGAAAAGAGATGCACGTTTCTATCAAGTAATAGAGCAAGAATTCCCTCCTTGGGGGCTGGAGGGCACATCCCCATGGACATAGAGATAGCAAAATTTTTAGGAAAAAGAAAGTTGAAAAATTTTATGTTTATCTAAAATATGTTGGCACTTAAAATTTGAGCGATATTGGTTGTAAAATAAGAAATATAGGGCTTCCCTGATGGCGCAGTGGTTGAGAGTCCGCCTGCCGATGCAGGGGACACGGGTTCGTGCCCCGGTCCGGGAAGATCCCACATGCCGCGGAGCGGCTGGGCCCGTGAGCCATGGCCGCTGAGTCTGCGGGTCCGGAGCCTGTGCTCCGCAACGGGAGAGGCCACAACAGTGAGAGGCCCGCGTACTGCAAAAAGCAAACAAACAAACAAAGAAATATAACAAACCAAGTGTATCACACACACACACACAGTGAGTAAGAGGAGGTGGATGTTGATTAGCCACTCAGATAAGAAGTTAAATTATTTAAACATAGTCCCTAACTTGAAAGCATCAGTTTATTTCATCAATGTCACTGATAAATGGAAATGAAGAATTAATAGCAAATTTGCAAAATCATGGGAAAAAAAGAGATGAGGGAATGATACCACTTATATTTCCCAATGTAACTTTATTTTACAAATTAGTTCCAAAAATTTAGCGTTATTCATTAAATGAAATTTTTTTAAACCCATAGTAGACAGTTCACCAGTTTCCATTGAATCAGTTTCTAGCATGAATTGATCCTTGAGAGTTTATGAGTGATAGTCATCATTTGGAATATAATTAAACTATCTGAAAATGCTTTGGATTATTGCAGGTTAGTTTGCAGAGAGCCTGTAGACAATGATTGCATGAATATACTTTAATGTGCTAATACTGACATTTTCTTTTCAGTTTCATCTCAGCCTACACTGGACAAAATACGTTTTCACTGTGCATTATTTTAAGCTACGACAGATGTCCTTAAAATCTACAGATTCTCTATATTTAGGCTACATCCAAATTGCTACCTTTAGTTATAGAAGTTTATAAGAAATCATAAGCCTAGTAACTGGCATGGGGTGATTGTATAAATCGATCAGAAACCAATTGTCAGGATGTTTATTTAACATTTAGACAACCAGCCTTAATAGATCACAGACCTCCACTACAGCTCTGAAGGGTAGAATGTGGGAGTTCAGCAGAGAAATCAGAGATCATATACTTAATTTGGAACTTTTGGTCTCTTATATTGGGAGTTAAATGTGAAATCAGCAATGCATCTTTGGCGTGGGAAGCATACCATTTTCATTGGAATGAAAGCAAGTGCTCAAATTATCTCTCTTTTCATATTTCAAATAACTAAAATTCCTTATCCTAGACCCCGTGGAGCTACCAAATGACTTAAGACTCCCTGTCGGCAAACGGGTTCGTGAAAACACAGAGGGAAGGTGTGTACAGATAACTACCGGGTCTGATTAGTACCAAGCGGTACCTTCCAGTCACGTAGCAGTTGAGAGGAAGGTAGCATTTACTCTATGGGGGCTGCGTTACAGGGCTGTTAGCGGACTCCATACGGTGAGGGGCAAAGGGGAAGTAAAATCAGGACTTGGGACGCAGAAGTGAGTGAGAGACGCGATTGCAGGCAATACAGCTTCCTTGAAAATAAGCTAAGGTAAGTTTGGAGAAGAATGTGTGAGAGAATGATTCTGAAGAAAGGACTTGTTGGCCACCTTTAGTAATTTACAGGGTCTATGTCTTGTCTCCATAGTTCTCGGGCCTGATTCAACCAAATTAAGCGCTCCTACCTCATATACTTATAAAGGAAAAGAAACCTGTTCTCTGGGTGTGTGAACAAAGAGATAAAACGAATTGCCTAAGCCCCCGTCTTCCACGCAAGGTCCTCAGGACTCCCTTCTTTGTCTCAGCTTCTCTCTCTGTCTCTCCACCGCATCTCTCCTCGTAAATATATACACACACCTGTCTCCACGTGGTCAATATCCAAGTCTACAGGGGGACATAGGAAGGGCAAACACACTGGAATATGCCTACTCCATTTCATTCATCATCTTTCCAGCATGTAAAACTTACTTCTCATAAATAAGTTTGCAAATAATCTCTGTTCTCATGTGATCTATATTTTATTTTACTATTATTATTTTTTTTTTTTTGCGGTACGCGGGCCTCTCACTGTTGTGGCCTCTCCCGTTGCGGAGCACAGGCTCCGGACGCGCAGGCTCAGCGGCCATGGCTCACGGGCCTAGCTGCTCCGCGGCACGTGGGATCTTCCCGGACCGGGGCACGAACCCGCATCCCCTGCATCGGCAGGCGGACTCTCAACCACTGCGCCACCAGGGAAGCCCTGTATCACAATTTTAATGCCCAGTGTCATGCTTCCTAAAGTCTGTTTGTCCCTGGACACACCCTACTTACCATAACACTCTTACTGACTTACTCTTTGACTAGAATAGGTGAGCACCTGTAGTGTCAGACTGGATTAGAATTCAAAGACCTAATTTCTGTTCTCTTTTCTAAAACCTAGGAATACGGCAACTCTAGAAAAAATATTTACAAATAAGAACATGATGATTTCATTCTATGAATATTTGAAGGGCTATCAAGGAAAAGGAAATTTGCTTTGTTCTTTGTGGTTCAAAGAGAGAGATTTGGGTGAAGGGATTTCAGTTTGTAGGGAAAGAGTTTTTGTCTCAGAATACAGAACATTTCTACAGTGTTCTTGTTTTCAAATATTCAGATTTTTTTCAGGTCAATCTTTTGTCTGGTTTGTTTTTTAATGAATTCATTTACTCAGCAAAAAATACAGGGTTATACTATGTGCCAATCACTGTGCTAATCTTTAGGGATAAAAAGTAAAACAAGACAAATTATTTTTCCTCTCGTACTGACATAGGAAAGATATGTCAGCAAAGTATCATCCACGTTAGACTCAGCAGATATGAATCAGGTAGTGGTAGTTAGTACTTGAGCTGATTTCTAGGATGCATCAGGTTAATGAAGTAGAGACAGTTGAGGAGCTACAGTAATTAATACTACATGGCATTGGCACAGACATACATATAAGTACTTGTAAAGTACTTATATGTACTTATAAGTACATATAAAAGTATGTTCCTACTCTAGTTTTTACCAAAATGTTTTCAGGTGGATTTAAAGTTAAAATTTAAGAGTAAACTAATTTGTGAAAGCTAGAAGAAAATACAGATTTAAGATTTTCCTTATTATGGGGCAAGAAGTATATAAGCAATATAAGAAATCACAAGGGAAAAAATATATAGATGTAACATAATGTAAATTAAATTTTACTCATTAAAGTATTATAAAAAATTAAAAGGTGTGCAGACACTGAGCAATATATTTACCACATATATAACAAGATTTCCTAATTGTAATAAACAATAAATTCAACAAAAATACATATTCTAGTAAAAAAATTGGCAAAATATAAAGACATATTTCTTAGAGAATACAGATGATTAATAGCTTGTAAACATATGTTCATCCACACTGCTAAACTAAGAAAATTAATTAAAATGATAATACCATTGCTTTTTAACTATTTATTAGAAGAATTGAATGGTAACACTCAGTGTTGGGAAACAGACGATAAGCCCTCTTCCTCATTATCAGTGCATCTTTGTTGTGGCACAAACTTTCTGGACGCCATTTTCACAATACACGCCTTAAAAATTTCTAGGAATTTATGCCAGGGAAACAACCTACACCGCCCAAAGATTTATCCTAAGTGATGTTTGTAATAATGATGCGTAGCTTCCTATTACTGCTGTAACAAATTACAACAGACTTAGTGCATGAGAAAAACACATTTATTAAGTTTTTACAGTTCTGGAGGTCAGAGGTCTGAAATGGGTCTTACTGGGCTTATTGAAATGGGGTCAGATCAAGGTGTTGGCAGGACTGCACTCCATCTGGAGGCTCTAGGGGAGAATCCGTAGTTTTACTTGTTGCAGCTTCCAGGAGCCACCTGCACTCCTTGGCTCGTGGGCCCCTTTCTTCTTCAAAACCAGCAGTGGAGCATCTTCAGACTTCTCTCTGAATCTGACCCTGACTTTCCTACACCTCTCTTTCACTAATTATTAGGACCCTGTGATTATATAACACAGGATAATCTCTGAATATCAAAATCATTAATTCAATCACATTTGCCACGTCCCATTCAACAAGATAGCATATTCATAGGTTCCGGAGGTTACAGGCAGACATCTTTGGAAGCGGCATTATTGTTCCTGCCACTGAGCAAAAGTAGAGAAGTGGTAAAACATGTCAAACCTTCAAATAATAGACTGTGCCAAAAAAATATCCTGATAGAACGGTGTAATAGTATCATGTAGTTAATTGTAATTCATATAAAAAAATTGGGAGAAGAAACCGTGAAGTGTCTGTTTTTCCGGTTTTATTTTCATTTTTCTCTGCAATGAATATAGATTGCTTTTAAAATCAGTAAAACAGTGGTTTACAGAAACATCGTCAAATTTGAAAGTTTGCATTTAGAAAGGAGGTTAAGTGCTTTCATTTTTTCCTTTAGAAGTAAGATAATATGGATTCTTACCTTGCAAAGCAAAAGTAGTACAGTGAAGGTAAGGCTTCTTCTGATTCTCTGCTGTTTGATCCTACAGTGGACACATAATCAGTGACTTCATTACCAGAGGGTTTTTATTACTGCATTCTGTTGACGTATCATTGACAGGAAACTCATCTTTACAGAGAATAAGAGTTTAATTTTCCCAATATCATATTTGAAATTCTTTGCTAAATTCATATATTGCATGTTTACAAGAAAGAGTACTTTTTGTGATAATAGAGGGATTCAAGCCAATAAGATCATGACAAGTTTATTATAATTTAAATATTTTGATGATTTAATTTTGAAATCCATTTTGGAATGTAACATTAGGAAGTGTCCATCCTCAGATTGTTGGAAGAAAAACTTTATGTAAGAGTTTTTGAATGTCAAGAAATTAACATTCAGCCTCGAGAAAGTATAGCTTGTGGCAGGCTGAAATAATGACCCCCAAAGATATCCAGAACCTAGTCCCTGGAATCTGAGATTTACTTTATATGCAAGAGATTTTGAAGTTGTGATTGAGGATCTTGGAGTGCGGTGATCCTCCTGGATTATCCAGCTGGGCCCTAAATCTAAGCACAAGTAATCCTCATAAGAAGGCAGTAGAGAAATATTTGTCCAGAGAAGAAGGCATTGTAACTGCAGAAACAAGGCGCTGTTTACTGGCTTCACTAGGCAAAGGATGCAGCTGCAGCTCTAGAAGCTGCAAAGTATAAGGACGCTGTGCCCTAGAGTCTCTGGAAGAAGTGAGGCTCTGCCAGTCCCTCGATTTCAGCCCAGTGACAGTGATCTCAAACTTCTGACCTCCAGAACTGTAAGGAAAGAAATGTGTGTCAAGCCACCAAGTTTGTGGTAATCTCTTAGAGAGACCATAGGAAATGAATCAACAGCTACACCGCTTTACGCCAGTACTTACTACTAGGTATTCTTACAGTGTTTGAGCTCAATTTCAGAAAGATAAAAGCAAAGGGTTGTGATTGCTATGTAATTGTCATCAATAATTTGCAGTTATACTTTAGTGTAAATAACCGGATGATGTACACATGAACTTTAATTGAATTAAACATGAATTTGGAAGGAGTAATGTCATCAAGGTGGTGATAGGAAGTCCCAATGCATGTTCCCACAGAGAAACACCGACTTATCAGTGATATACAGACCGAAATACTTTCATTCCTTTTATTAAGAAGTTGCAGTACCCCCAGACAAACACAAAGCGAGAACAGTCATGTTGAATTGGGTAAGATGGCCAATTTCACTTTACCTGCATCAGTCCCTAACCCCAAACCAGGGCCAGGTGAGAATGCCCTGGATCGTGACTTCTCCTTTGTGGGGAAAGAGAAGATTGGAGCTTTCATCCAACGTTCTGGCTTTCCTGAGGGCTGCCCAAGGAACAGGTTTCTGTTTGGCCTCACTCAGAGCGCTGACAGAGCAGGTGTCTAACTCAGGGCACTGATGGGGGCCTGGCGTACTTTGCATGCTGGTTGGCCACTGAGAACAAGAGAGATCAGGGCAGCTTGCTACTGTAGAACCAGAACTTGTAGTGTCGCAGGCACAAAAGAAGCAAGATTATGAGATCCTGAAAAAGATACCAGTGAGCCTCTCTAGTTGAGAAAATTGCACTCAAAGGCCTTCAGAAGTCACATTCCCTCCAAAAGTTTTTAGGGGCCCGCATGATGTCTAGGCAGGTTGATTAGGGAGGGTCTTCTTCTGTACAAAGCCAGTTCCTTAAAGACTGGCAGAGGTAGCTGCTTTTTCAAATGCATGGACCCCGACACTAAGTTATAAGACACATGAAGAAACAGGGAAACACGACCAGAACAAAGGAACAAAATTAATCTCCAGAACCCAGTTGTAAGGAAATAGAGCTGTATGAAATACCCGACAGAGAATTTTAAAAATTGTCATAATGATGCTCTATGAGCTCAAGAAAACAATGCATGAACAAAATGAGAATATCAACAGAAAGATAGAAAATATTTTTAAAAATTGGGAGATTGAATAAATGAACTGAAAAATTCACTAAAGGGGTCCAAAATCAGGTTGATAAAGCAGAAGAAAAAATCAGCAAGTTCAAAGCCAGGTCATTTGAAATTACCCATTCAGAGGAACCACACGAAAAAAGAATGGAAACGAGTGAAGCAAAAGCCAAATGGACTTTGGGACACCGTCAGGTGGACCAATGTTTACATTATGGGAGTCTCACAGAAGAAAAGAGAAAGGGCAAAAAACTTATTTAAAGTAATAACAACAGAAAACTTCCCAAATCTGGGTAAGGAAATGAATGTCTAGACTTAAGAACCTCTGTAGGCTCTAACTCATATAAATTGAAACAAATCCACACCAAGAAATATGATAATCAAATTGTCAAATGTGAAAGAATTTTGAAAGCAGCAAGAGAACTTGTCCCCTACGAGAGAAACTCCATAAAACCCTCAACGGATTTTTTGGCAGAAGCCTTGCGGGTCAAAGGGAGTAGGATGATATAGTCAAATTGCTGAAAGAAAGAAATTTCAACCAAGAATAAATACTGTATCTGCCAAAACTATCCTTCACATATGAAGGTGAAATGAAGAATTTTCCAGATAAAACTAAGCAGAGGGAATTTATCACCACTAGACTTGCCTTACAAGAAATGCCAAAGGGAGTCCTTCAAGTTGAAATGAAAGGATTTTAAATAGCAACACAAAAGTCTGTGAAAGTATAACGCTCACTGGTAAAGGTAAATATATATACAAATACAGAATACTGTTAATACTGTAATAGTGACGCATAAATCACTTTGAGTTCTTGCATAGAAGTTAAAAGACAAAAGTATAAGAAAAATCTATAAAATATGTTAATGGGTTCATAATATAACATGATGTGATTCGTGATATCAATAACAAAGCGTGTGTAGGAGAGAAGCCAAAGTTTCAGGTACGCGTATATGATTGAATTTATCAGTTTAAAATAGATGGTTAACTATGTTTCATGTAAGCCCCATGGTAAAAACCACAACGAAAATACCTGTCGAAGATACACAAACGAAAATAAGAAAGAAGTAAAAACATGTCACTACAAAAAAAATCAATGTGTCTTTCAGGGGTGTTTTACAGTTTCGTTCATGTACCCTTTGAGCATTTCTTATTCAGGGAATGGGGGATGGTGCAGGGGAAGAGGAAGAAACTTACAGGCATGAAAAACCCTTGTCAACAGATACTAGAAGTGGCAGAACAAAGTGTACACACGTTAGACATATAAAGCAAAAGTGTTTTAAAATCCAGCCTCCATTATGAACATAAAAACTCCATAGGTTTCCTTCCAAAGGAACCCTGAGCACGTGGACGTCAGTTGCTGCAGATCAGACATGAAGAGTTATTAAACTAAACCACTTCATCTTTTCTTCCCAGGATTGACATCTTCAAGTATGTGATCTATGGCATTGCAGCTGCATTCTTTGTGTACGGCATTCTGCTGATGGTGGAAGGTTTCTTCACGACTGGGGCCATCAAGGATCTCTATGGGGATTTCAAAATCACCACGTGTGGCAGATGCGTGAGTGCATGGGTACGTTACCTGTCTTTCCTCAGGAGTTAATGTGGGCTTATCTCAGGAGCACACAGGTGTTTGTGTTCATCTGCCAATAACTGGAGGGTTGTTTTTTTTTTTAACACAGTAACATTCCCTGCTCTGGTGGCTATTTTAAATCTTAATAGTATTTTCAAAATAACGATTCCATGTGAAAATTCAGGTTCAGATTCTCAAATCATGTGCAACACAACTCATCTTGCTTCTAGAGGCAGCAAACTGTTGATTGATTTATGATCTATGTTTCCCGAATGGCTCTGGGCTTCCCATACAATATTTAAGATAACAGAAAAATCCATCTGCAACTTATAACAGTGCAGATCTCTCTTCCTTAAATACATGTTACATGTATTTTACTGTAAACTTGGGTATGTTACATGTATTTTACTGTAAACTTGAGTGGGAACTATATTATGCAATTTCTGTTTAATATTGACATAAGGTAAGAATTACTCTATTATACTAATTTAGATTTTAAATCGTTATTGATATGATATTTAACGGTAACTCAAACTTATGGTCTAGAGCTAATGCAACGCAGAAAATGCATGTATATCTATTACAGCACAAGACTGATGAAAATTAAGAGTAATATGTTAAAAATACATTCACGTTTTTATGCAGAATAATTTTCATAAAATGAACTTTGGAGCTTCCATCCTTGACCAATGTATTTTTATTATTTCCCAATGTTATATGAGAATATCTACTTAATTACAGCATATATTTCCTATTAAGTAAGATGTCTCTAATAAGGAATGGTGCGATTTATTTCAGTCTTACAGAAAAGTTCAAAAATACCTGTTAACCACCAACCATTTTTTCCACCAGCTTGTAACAAGTTCTAATATTCTCTCAGTGTCAATAATGATAATAATCTTATAAAATAGTTAGCCTGTGTTGTCGGTATTTGTAGTTGTTGCTGCAATAATTTCTTGTAAGACTCTTTTGGGGAACAATGTTTGTTGTATTATCTAATTGTTTCGGATCAGTAATATCAAATTACAGACCCAAAGGAAGTTTAGTTAAAGATCTTGAATTAATTTAATAAGTAAAATATGAATATTCAGTGGGCTAATTTTCAGTGATACCTAAGGGATTTCTCTATTAAGAAGGCACGTTTGATTTTAGATTCACTTATACTCTGCCAGTAGACTATGGTGAATTCAGTTAATGATGGGCTTTTTCTTATAATTAGGACAGTATCATTATAACACCACTCGTATGTCTTAGCAAGTCACTTAACTTCTCCGGATCCCAGTTTACTCTCTTACATCACAAAGGCATTAGATCATCTCTAAAGCTCATTCTAGCTCCAAGAGTCCATAATTCTAAAACACGAGTGAAATCATAGAGAAAAGGGGTCTCTTTTACCATTGGGAGTGACCTTTCGCCAGGAAGAGTGCAGTAGATTAGGTCGTTTCATTGAGATTGTGAAATTTCTGCAAAAGATTGTATGCAGAAGCAAAAAGTCATGGAAGAAAACACCTAGCTATGTGCCGTTACTACTTATCCGCTTGCCATTGACACTTCAAAGCCGTCTCAAATGAGAATTTTTAAAGCAAAAATGAGCCACATTTTTTTCTATAATAGTTACAGTTGTGTCACCAGTCCCACCCAACAGCCCAGAAGGGTGGCAGCAGCTGCGTGGGTCCCTCCAGAGGCGAGGCAGCAGGGAGTCAGCCCCCTAAAACACCCCACCCACGCCTTTAGCACCCCTCCGCACCCAGGAATGAGCACAATTGAGGGAGAAGCAGAGCTGCACTCTTGTGTGTCTTACAAAAGCAGCAATGTAGCGCACGGGCGAGGCCTTTGAGTCCGGCGCAGGCTGTCCCAACATGGCCTCCATGAAGGGGACCAGCCCCTGCAAAAAGGGGACTGGCTGCACTGCCTGGAAGTGCCCTGCACAGTGCACAGCCCTGCAACCGTCTCATGCAGGATTTAGGGCTCCATGGAACCAGAGGAAAAAATAATAATAATGTTTTTTCGGAGATGGCCAACAAACACAGGAAAGAATGCTCAACATCATTAATCATTAGAGAAATGCAAATCAAAACTGCAGTGAGGTATCACCTCACACCAGTCAGAATGGCAATCATCAAAAAATCAGAAACAATAAATGCTGGAGAGGGTGCAGAGAAAAAGGAACCCTCTTGCACTGTTGGTGGGAATGTAAATTGATAAAAGCCACTATGGAGAACACCATGGAGGTTCCTTCACAAACTAAAAATAGAACTACCATATGACCCAGCAATCCCACTACTGGGCATATACCCTGAGAAGACCATAATTCAAAAAGATTCATGTACCACAATGTTCATTGCAGCTCTATTTACAATAGCCAGGACATGGAAGCAACCTAAGTGTCCATCGACAGATGAATGGATAAAGAAGATGTGGCACATATATACAATGGAATGTTACTCAGCCATAAAAAGAAATGAAATTGAGTTATTTGAGGTGGGGTGGATGGACCTAGAGACTGTTATACGGAGTGAAGTAAGTCAGAAAGAGAAAGACAAATACCGTATGCTAACACATATATATGGAATCTAAAAAAAACAAAAAATGGTTCTGAAGAACCTAGGGGCAGGACAGGAATAAAGACACAGACGTAGAGAATGGACTTGAGGACGCGGGGAGGGGGAAGGGTAAGCTGGGACGAAGTGAGAGAGTGGCATGGACATATATACACTACCAAATGTAAAATGGATAGCTAGTGGGAAGCAGCCGCATAGCACAGGGAGATCAGCTCGGTGCTTTGTGACCACCTAGCGGGGTGGGATAGGGAGGGTAGGAGGGAGATGCAAGAGGGAGGACATATGAGGATATATGTTTACGTATAGCGGATTCACTTTGTTATAAAGCAGAAAGTAACACACTATTGTAAAGCAATTATACTCCAATAAAAATGTTAAAAAAAATGTTTTATCGGTCATTCTCTCCTGCTACTTAGTCTTCCTTGCTTCCCTATTTCCATTCTGCTGCCTTTTTTCTTTTTCCAATTTATAGGTAAATTGTATCTTACAGTCTACTTTTTGTTCTATGAGTTCCTTAGCTTTAAAAATGTCCTTTTTTAGAAAGCTCAGAGATAAACCCATGCACATATGGTCACCTTACCTTTGATAAAGGAGGCAAGAATATACGATGGAGAAAAGACAGACCTTCAATAAGTGGTGCTGGGAAAACTGGACAGCTACATGTAAAAGAATGAAGTTAGAACACTCCCTAACACCACACACAAAAATAAACTCAAAATGGATTAAAGACCTAAATGTAAGGCCAGATACTATAAAACTCTTAGACGAAAATGTAGGCAGCACACTCTATGACATAATCACAGCAAGATCCTTTTTGACCCACCTCCTAGAGAAATGGAAATAAAAACAAAAATAAACAAATGGGACCTAATGAAACTTAAAAGCTTTTGCACAGCAAAGGAAACCATAAACAAGATGAAAAGACAACCCTCAGAATGGGAGAGAATATTTGCAAGTGAAGCAACTGACAAAGGATTAATCTCCAAAATTTACAAGCAGCTCATGGAGCTCAATATCAAAAAAAACAAACAACCCAATCCAAAAATGGGCAGAAGACCTAAATAGACATTTCTCCAAAGAAGATATACAGATTGCCAACAAACACACGGAAGGATGCTCAACATCATTAATCATTAGAGAAATGCAAATCAAAACTACAGTGAGGGGCTTCCTGGTGGTGCAGTGGTTGAGAGTCCGCCTGCCGATGCAGGGGACACGGGTTCGTGCCCCGGTCCGGGAGGATCCCACGTGCTGCGGAGCGGCTGGGCCCATGAGCCATGGCCGCTGAGCCTGTGTGTCTGGAGCCTGTGCTCCGCAACGGGGGAGGCCACAACAGTGAGAGGCCCGTGTACCGCTAAAAAAAAAAAAAAAAAA